TCGCTCCAACAACTGGTTTAGGAAACATATCTCGCCTGACAAGCCCTTCATCCGCAGCGAGCAAGACTGTACTTGAAAGCGTTTACTAGTAAAAGCTAAGAACAACTTAATATGGAAATGTTTCTCAAACCAACGTGTTAGAATATAGGCATACTTCATTTCCATTCTTATACTGTTATCACCTTGCTCTTGTTGAATATGGAGTTGCGCGAGCAGTAACGACCCCATTCGTTCCCGAGAAGCGCTAGAGTTACGCTGGGATTTTCTTGGCGGAAGGATTTTCGTTCGTTTCGTTCGGTGGTTTCGAATTCGTTCAGAGCCCTCACGAAGAAGTCTGGCCATCGAGTAGGCGGTTGAGCATGTGTTCGTTTGACATTATCCAGTCTGTAACCGTTTCGGTCCACAGGTTTTCTTCGGAACGCATGGTGTGCCCGGTCCACCTAATCCTTCGAACAGTTCCAAATAGGGCTGCGTCCCTGATCTTCGATCGTTGATGGAGTGTGGTGCTCCGCATTCCCTCTCTCACTTGTGGGTAACGGGGGACTCTGACCATCGCTCTTTCGATCTCTTTCCTGGCTTACAATGGTTTCTTTCAGCAGTGATCGCCATCTTACCGAACAAAAACCGAAGCAACGTCGTAACGAAATCAACTTAATTTTGTGACCTGAAGAAAACATCACGAAACTTGCAGGGGACTTTGACATTAGCCCCTAAAAAGTTTTTCAGTTTGCGGACTTACTGTGAAGTTTTCATACTGAAAGACGTACAATGGACTGGAAGCGCGCTGCCGCACTTCAAAGATCTGAATCCTTTCCTAGCCCTAAGGCCAGCAAAGCTTTCCATACTGGCGGGGGTGATTGGGCCCATTAAACCTGTCCGGGCGAAAAACATCAGCTCAAACATAAGGCAACATTCGTTTCTCAGATTAAAAGCGCGATTCACATGCAACATTTACGCTTATACAAAAGGTATAGTCTAACGGCGAATGTTTTATTTGCTTAGGTTGTCGTCAAATGTCACATCTGCACAATCAAAATCAGGAGACCATAAAATTGTGGCAAAAAGTATGGATTACCCAGACTACGAGGATGATCGAGACTGCTCCAAGAGTCAAGAATCCTATAGGAGGGATAAGGTTAGATTCTGACAACGAAACGACTTTACTTTAAAGGCAAGAGGCTACTATATTGGAAGCTAAGTACCTCAGCTATGTATCTGTGAAATTTGGCCAACCTAGCCGCAGAACTTCTCGAGAAATTGAAAAGAAGCCCGAGTGGTCAAAATCAGCGCTGGATTTTCGAATCAGGCGGCGTAAGAGGAAAACGCGGTTCTCAGGTTCGACCCGAGCTGGAGCAGTATTTGCGTGTTACGTGTAGTGGTGATCTCGAAATGCAAGGTGGAAGATTTGGTTCAAGAGCACGAAGAAGGAAGAAAGGAAGAAATTTGTCGATGTGGATGGTCCTATAATGTTCATCTTGCACAGGTCTTAGAAAAAGGTTGAATGAAGTCCAAGCGCTGAAAGTATATCCAGAGGCTGGATCCTTCTCAAGCTTCCCCGCGAGACTGACATCCTTGCTGCAATTGGCCCAACTTATCTCCGATAAACTGAGGATGGTCAAGGGGGTGTGCGCATGGGCCCCCCAATTTTCTTACAAAAGCACGAAAGTCGATTCTATGCCTGTAGCAGTAATGTTCTCCACATACGGTGTCTGCACGACTGTGAAAACGCACCCGGCTTCCAGATGAGATATGGTTCGTTTTGAACTCCGAGCCAAAACTCACACGCGTCAAGTTTGTGTGAATGCAGATGAGAAGCCAGCCGAATACTGCTATGAGGAGTCACGGGGGCCCCAAGTGGATGATCATCATAGTGCACGATTTCTGCACTGTGGCTTTCAAGGGCTTTGTACAGAGAACAAAATCGTAGCTGTCGGCCTACATTGCCTGTTCTACGACAATCAGATCGACAAATGGATGGTACCACACAACTACAAGAAGGCCACCGTTGCTCGTCATAGTGCCAGACCCCGAGTAACTGTATATAGGGCAGTGCTAGGGCACAAACAATACTGAGACCGTGTTCTATCGCCCCATTCGCCCCACCTGAAGGCGCGCGATTACAACTGTTCTGCTCAGTCGAAGGTACTGTCCGAGGCAAGAGGTACAACGCTTTGTCATCCGCCGAAATGGGCATCAGCAGCAGTTTTCTCGGGCTTGTTGAAAAACGAACGTACCAGTGGTCCAAACGCTTTCGGGGCACTGCGAGCGGGTCATTGATGAAGAAGGGATCTAATCAATATCATCTAAAATATTACTTATTTATCTGTTTTCCTCTTCGTTTCACATGAATAGAACTTCCACATTCGTTCCGCCCACGGAGGCCAGCCGGTAGTGCCTAGTTTGCTTCGCTCCACATCCCGGAGATTAGGAAGACGCAACGAACCTGGCAAGGGATGCCTTTCGTGGGTTATTTCCATTAAGGGAAATGTCATTACGCCGTATGCTGGGTAAAGACATGATTACAGCTAAGTGAAACGATCAACATCGTCCACATCCTGTTAAAGCTTCAGCAGCTTCATGGGACCCACCGAGAGAAGCATGCAATACTTTGCGCTAACCAAACTGTAATTGCAGTATCATTTGTAAAGTATTGCAGGTCATGGGAGGCAGAGACGCTTTGATGGGAGAGTTCCCTTGGAGCGTTTTCATAGAGCTCAACGGCAGTAAGCTTTAAATTATTTACAAAGAGAATGTCTTGACTGACTTGAACTGGTTTCCCTATCTCTTCTACATCAAATCTTCAGAGATGTGCGGAGGTACACTAGTGTCAAAACGTCACATAATTACGGCGGCCCATTGTTTCTCGATAGGCAAGACGAGTGGTCGCTGCAGGTAGCTTCTAGTGCTGCATTTGAAAAGAATATTGTGTTCATTTTTTGATCGCTTGTTTCAGCATCAGACACATGTATCCAAAGAAAACTGTGTTGAAGTACGCTACAGCCGTAGTTGGTGGTATTTGTCGCAAAGAAGACAAATCAGTCAAATGCACCGGTGAGAAAGTCGGCAAGAGAATCCGAATAAAGAGGTAAGGGCTTTGATCGGGTAAGGTTACTATTCATGTAGCACACCAACATAAATTCAGTTTGTTTGGATAGGTATTGTATCGCTGTCACACGAGTAAAGCGCTCTGAAAACATTTTGAGAAAGGGGGACGCTCCATGAGCGCACGCGCAGCGCACGTCCGATGTTCAGGAGACTTTTCGTGGAATATACCCCCTAGAAAGTTCTCTAGTACGAAAACCCTCCACATCCTGACTACTACGTTCCTGGATTCTCCCAACTTCCTACCACTTTTTCCTACTTCCCTCAAAAATCCGCCATTTAGCGGCGGATTTTTGTCAAAATGATGCACTTGGATTGCGATCTTCACAAAGATGGGGCAAGATGCTTGAACAGGGTACAGCATGGGGATGTGCGAAATGTCGGTGTGAGTACGACCCCCCCCCCTTCGAATGGGGTCCAGGCACGAAGCCCTACACGGCTTCGACCGGCGTCTAGGCCACGACCCCCCCCCCTCCCTCGAACTTAGGCGGACGCCCCCCCCCTGCTTGGCTTTTCGCGACGAGACGAAGCGATGAAGTACTATATATAGTCGGCGAAGAAGGCGCCGAGTGGGGGAGGGGGATGCAGTAACTATGCAACGTATATCCCACGGGCGTACAAAATGCATATAGTGCATATAAAAAATTATTATACGTTGTTAATATTAATTACATTAATACCCCCCCCCTCCCCAGAGCAAAAGTACGACCCCCCATGGATTTGACACAACGATGCTGTACCCTGTACTTGAACACTTTCGCAGTTTTTGTTCGTTTCTGCAGAAATGCCTTTTCAGCGCACACTACGAGGGTTTTTTCAAAGAAAGCTGCAGTGGGACAAGAGATATTGCACTTGTTGAATTGGAGAAGAATGTTCCTGACGGCGTTCATCATGCTTGCTTACCACACCTGCACAATGTTGATGAACTGGACGAGTCAACAACGAGGCTCTTCTCATCGGGATGGAGAACGAATCGTCAGCGAATTTCTCCCCTAATTACTTTGGTTAAATCATTGTTGATTTAATTTCAACTTTTTAGCTCTTCATGGCACCATTCGATCTGCAGCTCCAATTCAGCAGCTCACCGATTTGGGTACTACATTCATTTTTCAAACTTTCCCTATCAAGAATGTCCGCCGAGGAATTGCCAAAATTTCGACACTCCGTAGTTTGTGAATTAGGATTATGCTCTTAAAGGCAGTTGGCACGATAAATCCCCAAGGCGACTAGGATCAATACTCCTGGCAGGATAGAATTCCGCGACCCTGGGCAGGCGCTGCATAGCGGTTTCCCCGAGGAAGGTGCCCTTATAAGGGCCCTATCAAGCCACAACTTTACGTCCCAAACGCCCGCCACGCCCGCCCGCCCACAAATGGACGACCGTCTAATCGATTCATTTGCTAAGCAAATTATGAAGCGAAGAGATTGGTATGAAGCGGCCGTGATGCTGCATGTACAGTCCTCATCATTGCGGACCGTGGGGCGTGTCAGCCAGTATGAGTGTGCACACTGTTGAAGTCGTTCTCAGCCTTTTTGTTGAAACGCGTATGCGACAAAAAGATAGGCAATATCACTTGCCGCTTCAACAACTGGTGCAGAACGACTTTGGCACCGCGCCAAACGCAGCCGCACTGACACGCCCCACCGGTCCGCAATGATGAGGACTGTATGTACACATATGTCAGCCGTATCTTCGGTAGCGGTGATTGGTGAGATGCCTGCGGGAAACTGCGCGCGAAATCTATCTAGTAGCGGTGATTGGTAAGATGCCTACGGAAACTCGTCCGAAATCGATTTACAAGTCACTGAGAACGGAGGCTTTTCTTCGCAGGATTTTGACCGTTTCACTCCGTTCTTTCGCCATTTCCCCACTATACAGCGTCTACTAGCTTTTAGCTAATGTAGTAGTTACGTCGCTAAACACAGCTTCCACAATCAAGAATCATGGATAGTTGCTTTTCAATTATCCAGCAACTGATAAATGATTTCCCGTAGAAGAAAGAAGCAAAAAAGTTTTTAGCATAACAGGAGGAACACTAACGCAGAACTCGTGACAGAAAGAAAACAACTAAAAAAATAATCTAAGATTACCGTCAGTGCAAGCTCAAGCTTATTGTCAGTCAAGCGTTTGCACGAAAAAAATTGCAAGAAATATTGAATGGACAAGTCTTACCTTGTCGACATGGACAGCTGTTGACTGTACAGGGGGGGGGGAAAAAGTCACTTCGACCGAGTCACATATCAGCAAAGTTTTCGCAGCCCAGACAGAGGACGTGGATACGAGTACCAGGGCGGAAGATACCCAAGATGTTCCTCGATAAGCAGGAGCTGGCTCTCGCCCATCACCTTCATGTACACCAAAATATGAAGTCATCTCCAGTCGCAGCCTGACTGGAGAAGACCTTTGGAATTCATGTCACCTCAAACTTCTAGTATGGAGTCACCCATGGATAGCTACCTGGAGACCAGTACTATCAGCAGCTCCGACAACGTCGCTACGGTCTAGGACATCATCTTCACCGCAGTCGCCAAGGCGCGGGTTGATGGTATGGACCGGACGTACCTGGAATGGAAAGACCAATATTTTCTTCGTGGACCCGGACTGAAGGTGAGCGCTGGCGGTTACATCGAGCAACTCGAGAAGAATATCCTCCCCACATGTCGTCGCCCGTACCTTCTTGGAAACTTTGTACTGCTACAGCATTGGGTGCCACCACATGGAATCGAAGGGCGTTGGAAAACTCTCGCCTACTTGGAATGGAAGGGCGTTGAGTACCTGAAGAAGATGGAATATCCATTACCAACGTATGTTTCGAAAAAATGCAGCAAAAAGGCAAAAAAAACCAGATATAGAAAGAGGGTCTTACTGAGCCCCTTTCAGGAGGGGTGGGAGTGGTACGGACACGACCGAAATCCCAAACGCACGATATGCCCTGGTGCAAACGTCGACGTGGCCCACTGTCGTTTTACTAGTCTAGCTTGTCTGAAATTCACCTCTTCTGAGGCTAAGGGAGGGGAGTGTAACACATATGCTGCTCACTATTATAGTCAAAAGCATTATTTTTCACAGATGTTCTGGCAAATTGCTTTGTAATAATCTTTGAGGTTTAGGATTAAGGATGACTAATGAAGAGTGCAAAAAGAAAACATTTTTGTGGCCAGATATGTTCTGTACACTGGAACCATCGGACAAAACCGTTTGTATAGAGTGGGAGATAAGAACATCGACGGCGGGTGACAGGAGGTGATAACAGCTGATAGGGGCTGATAAGGAAAGTTGCCGTTGTTGTTCAGTCAAAGTGTTGGGCTTTGACACTACCAAATTATAGAGTTTTAGTGATAGGAAATTGATGATGGGCGACAGGCAATCTTATCAATTGATAGGTTATGATAAGGGGTCATTCCCATTACATCTCTTACCACTACAATGCCAAGTATTGAAGGATCAATGGGCAAAATTTTCGTTCAGCCATCACTTCTCTGTTTACAATAGAAATGAATCATCCCACTATCCTACTATATATTATCGCTATGTGTGTTGATGTGGTTGCGTGTGTGTGTGTGATGTCACGAAATTAGAACACTTGTCCCAGTAACAGTGAGACTTTGGTTCCAAGAAGTGATGGAGGGGGTGTAATAGGAACATCATTTGTGGGTTGTAGGAAATGTTATCAGCTGATAAGATCCGATAAGGGGCGTCCAAAGGTTACGGTCACCAGTCTATAGTGCAGGTCACAGCAGCAATGGGACTTTAGTTCCGAGATATGATGTAGAGAATGAGACAGTAAGATTATTTGTGGGTTACTAGAACTTTTAGCAGCTGATAAGATTCGATAAGGGGCCTCAGAATGTTATGGTCAACATGCTATATGACGAGGTCACAGCAATTGTGGTTCGTTGATTCAAGGATATGATATAGGGTATGGCACAGGAACATTATTGGTCGGTGACAAGAACTACCAGGAGGTGATAAGATTTGATAAGGAGAGATAGAAAGGGAAGGTCAGTCACAACACAGGACACAGCATCCGCGAGGCATGATTCAGAACAATATGATATTGAGTGAGATAAGAACATCGACGGCGGTGACAGGAGGTCGAAACAGCTGATAGGCTTGTACGGAAGTTGCCGTTGTTGGTTCTAGCTCAAAGCTGTTGGGCTGAAGTGCGAATTATAAGCGTAGCTAGGAGTGCAGGATCCGCCAGAGTTGCTGTATCTATTACGATTCGATCACTACAGTGCCGCATGAGCAGCCCACTATCGAAAAATTTGCGTTTTAATTATGGAGGCCTGGCGAAGCCAGGCCAGCTCGGCGAAACCGAGCCAAAGAGAAGGAGGAGAGCTCGGGCGATCCGATTTTACATGAGCCATTTAGTAATAACCAGTCGGATCGCCCGGCTGACGCCGAGCTCTCTCCTTCTCTTTAGCTTTTAAAAGCCGGGCTTCGCCAGCTGCCTGGCTTCGCCAGAGCGACAATATTATGAAACGCAACTTTTTCGAAGTGGGGCTGCTCATATTGGCGCTGTAGTGTCGGAATCATTATAGAAGAAGCAAACGTTGTGGATCCTGCATTCCTAAGCATACGCTTATATTTGCAGCAAGGGTGTGGTCCGCGCCATAAAGCCCATACAACACATGTCGAAAAAGTTGCGTTCAAATTATGCGCGCCTGGCGAAGCCAGGCCAGCTCGGCGAAGCCGAGCTAAAGAGAAGGAGGAGAGCTCGGCGTCAGCCGGGGCGATCGACTGGTTTGTTCATACGCGGCTCAGCGCACAACATAGATAAGCAGTGGTTCCATTGATGAGTGAGATATACAGGGGGGCCAAAAAAAAAGTCATTTTGCCTCCATGACTTTCAAGGCGCTATAAGTTACACTTTATTAAATTTTTATCGGACATTTTTACTACCATATTAAAGAGCACATTAAATACTATAATGATACTCCGCCACAGCCTTGGAGGAGCGCCATCGAGAGATTCGGCCGCGCGAAAGTGGGTGGGTACCGGAGTTGAGCGAGGTAGTCGATTTCTCCGCCACCGTAGACCACCCTATCGAACTCCGCTCGAACCAGGTAATTGAGGGGATTCAGGTCAGGGGGCATACTTCAATACTTGCATCTTCTTCAGGTACGAAGCGCCTTTCATTCGAAGTAGGAGAGAGTTTTTCCAAAACCCTTCGATTCCATGTGGTGGCACCAAAACCTGTAGCAGTACACGGTCTCCAAGAAGGTACGAGCGACAACATGTGGGGAGGATATTCTTCTCGAGTTGCTTGATGTAACCGCCAGCGCTCACCTTCAGTCGGGGTCTACAAAGAAAATATCGGTCTTCCCCTTTCCAGGTACCCCGGTCCATACCATCAACTCGCGCCTCGGCGAATACGGTGAAGATGATGTCCTAGACCGTAGCGACGTTGCCGTAGCTGCTCGATGTGGGAGGTCTTGCAGATCAAGAGTACTGACCTCCAGGTAGCTATCCATGGGTGACTCCATTCAAGAAGTCGACGGCTGTTCTTTTGCTGGAGCGGACGTGAATTCCAAAGGTGTTCTCCAGTCAGGCCGCGACTGGAGATGACTTCATATTTTGGCGTACATGAAGGCGATTGGCGGCAGCGTGCTCCAGCTTATAGAGGAAGATCTTGGGTATCTTCCACTCTGGTACTCATATCCACTTCCCCTGTCTGGGCTGCGAAACTTCTGGATACTGTGGCTCGCCAAAATGAACTTTTGTTTTGGCCCCCCTGTAGGACTGTGAAATAGGGATATTGACGGTGGGTGACATATAGGGATAACAGCTGATAAGATCTGATTAAAAGCATCAAGATACGTATGCTGTCAATGTCATAACAAGCGTCCTTAGCTACATCAGGAGTCATGCCGACAGGTGATGTAGACGATTAAATGGGGACAATGGTAGTAAGTGACCGGAATTACTTGCGGCTAAAAAAAGCTGGTGAAGAATTGTGAGAGAGGAGGGTCCTACTTTTTTCACGCGCCAGTGGCTTGGCTCAAGGTGCGCATTTTGCACGCTTACGTTACTTTTCTATGGGAATGAGGCTTTGTCAATTTCATACGAGGCTTTGCATTCATGCAAGCTATACTAGCTGATGGAATTAAGACTTTTCCTACCATACGCGAGTGTCATAAGCTGCAAGATGCTATAAACTGTGTCGAACTCT